ACAAAAATAAAGAAACACAAAGATGGTCACTACATAATGGTGAAGGATACAATTCAACAAGAAGGCATAATAATTCTGAAGATTGATGCACTTTAACTCAGGTGCACCAAGATTCTTATATTCTACTTGATCTAAACAAAATGATAAAAGCACCAACAGATTCATCAGGGACTTCAACACTGGTCTGACAGAACAGGACAGATCCTCCAAACAGAAAATAAACAAAGAAACAATGGACTTAAACAGAACTCTGAACAAATGGGCCTTACTGACCCATTACAGGACATTCTATCAAAAAAACCACTGAATATATGTTTTCTCATCAGCTCATGGGACATTATCTAAAATTGACCATATCCTAGGCCACAAAGCATGTCTCAAAAACTTTAAAAACTTAGAAATTATACCATGCATCTTCTCAGACTGCACTGGAATAAAATTAGAAGTCAATTCCAATAGAAATTCTCATCTCTACACAAAGTCCTAGAAACTAAAAACCCTTTTGCCGAATGATTATTGAGTTAAGGAGGAAATTAAGATGGAAAGCACAAGAGTCTTTGAACTAAATGACAAAGAGGACACAAGTTATCAAAAATCTGTGGGACACAGCTAAAGCAGTCCTGAGAGGAAAATTTATATCCACAAATGCAAAAGACAGAAAGATCACAAATCAACAATTGAATAAATTGTCTAGAAAAACTGGAAAAGGATGAGCAAACAAAGCCTAAACCCAGCATAAGAAATGAAATAACAAAGATAAAAGCAGAACTAAATGAAATAAATAACCAAAAAGCAATATGGAAGATTAATAAAACAAAAAGTTTGTTCATTGAAAAAATAAACAAAATTGAGACTCCTCTTGCTAGATTAATGAGAAGCATAAAAGAAAGGACTCTATTAAGCTCAATCAGGACTGTAAAAGGAGAAATTGCAAATGATCCTTTGGATACAAAATATCATCTATGAATACTATGAAAACCTCTATGCATATAAACGTGAACATGCGGAGGAAATGGAAAAACTGTTAGAAACACACAGCCTACATAGGCTCAATCAGGAAGAAATAGAATTCCTGAACAGACCAATGTCAAGTACTGACATTGAAGCATCAATAAAAAAGCTTCCTAAAAAGAAAATCCTGGACCAGATGATTTCACACCGAAATTTTGACACTGGAGTGTGGTGGCTCATGACTGTAATCCTAGCACCCTGAAAGGCCATGGTGGGAAGATCTCTAAGGTGAGAAATTTGAGACCATCTTGAGCAAGAACATGATCCCATCTCTACTAAAAGTAGAAAAGAAATGATCTAGGCAATTAAAAATAAAAAGAAACAAACAAAAATTAGCCAGCAATGATGGCAAATGCCTGTAGTCCCAGCTACCTGGGAGGCTGAGGCAGAAGGATCACTTGAGCCCAGGAGTTTGAGGTTGCAGTGAGCTAGGCTGATGCCATGGCACTCTAGCTCGGGCAACAGCGTGAGACTCTGTCTCAAAAAGAAACAGTGTCGGTGAAGATGTGGAGAAATTGGAACTCTCATGCACTGGTGGAGGGAATGTACAATGCTGTCACTGCTGTTCAAAATAGTATGCTGGTTCCTCCGAAAATTAAACAGAATTATTATGTGATCCAGCAATGCCACCTCTGGGTATGTACCCAAAGGTATTGAAAGCACAATCTCAAAGAGGTGTTTGTCCACTCACGGTCATAGCGGTGTCATTCACAAGAGCCGAAAGATGGAAGTAACCCAAGTGTTCACCAGTGAGGAATGGATGCACGTAATGTGGTCTATCTGTAGAGTGGACTGCTATTCAGCCTTAAATGTGAAGGAGATTCTGTCGCACGCCACCACGTGGATGAACCTGGAGGACATTGTGTTGCATGAATAAGCCAGTCACAAAAGGTAAATACTATCAAATTCCAATTATATGAGGTACCCAGAGTAGTCTAATTCATGGAGACAGGAAGTAGAAGGGTGGTTGTGTGTGTGTGGGGGGATGGGAATTAGGGAGTTAATGCTTATTGGGTACAGAGTTTCAGTTTCCCGGATGAGTTGTGTAGATAAATGGTGGAGATGCTCGCACAACAGTGTGAGTGTGCTTCGTGCCACTGAACTGTGCATGTAAAAGTGCAAGGCTGGGAGGTTTTTCGTTATGTGTATTTTATCATAATCATAATAAGGTTTTAAAAATTCAATGAAAACACTGATGGAAAATAAAGGCAGGGATGTTGGGCAACTGTTAGTAGCAGTTTCAATTGAGGGAGCCACTTTGAGAAAGCTATTTGGCAGTAACAATGCACGTCGCATGGCCTAGGAATCTCACCTTTAGGGACACACCCAAGAGATGTGCCTAAGGTGTCCCCAAGAAGAAAGGTGCACAGGTGTTCTTAGCAGCCCTGTGGAGCAGAGCCCCAGACTGGAAGGAACTGAAGTGTGCACAGTAGCCTGGGTAAATCTATTGCTCTGTATTCACACAGCAGCATAATAGATAGAAAAGTGGATGAAGGATGCACAGTGTGCAACAGACGAGGAATCTCATGACCAATATTGAGCTGAGGAAGCCAATACAGAAGAGTTTATGCTCAGCGATTTTCTATAAAGGAAATTGCTTTATAGAAATCCTTTATAGAAACCACAGCAACAAGGAAACTGAGCTGTGCTGGGAGAAGTCAGGGTAGTGGTTTCCTTGGGGCAGGGGCTGGACATCAGCTGGGTCTCCAGGAGAGGTTGTGGTGCCAATAATCTGTTTCTTGATCTGGGTACGGGAGCTAGCATGTGTTCAATATGTGGGGGAAAAAAAACCTTATAAATTGTATATCTGTGTGAATTATAGTGAAATTAAACTTTTTAATTAAAAAACATCAGCTTGCGTATCAAGCCCAGGAGGAGAGAGGGACCCTCAGACTGCCGTGCCTTCCGCAGCAAAAGCAAGTTCACGGCGACCATGGGGTCCTCTGCGTGTGGAGCAGCTGTCACCCGGCCTGAGCAGCCCCGCGTCGGGGAGAGCCGGGCTGGGCTCCACCACGCCCCGGTGAGCTACAGACACGGACACGGCCACCCGAGTGCCAGGACCCCCATCGCTGCCTACCTGCCCCTCGAGGTGAGCCAGGGGCCCTGCCCGTCACCACCTGCCCTGCCCCCTCCGTCCCCGATGGGAATGACTCGCTCGCTCTGACAAATCTGTGTGAAAACCCACTTGTTCAGAATGGCTTTTGGCGTAACTCCGTCTCCCTGTGATTTTCTGGCTGAAAGCAGGAATTGCTGTAGAAGGAGCAGAGCCTCCCTCCTGGCCAGGCCTAGACACCCCGACAGGATCCCTCCAGGGCCTTTGCACTCTGCTCTGCGTCCTGCGGTCTCCCTGTCACTGGCGTGGCTCAGGCGTTCCTCAGCTTGAGGTCTCTGCTCCCTGAGAGCTGCCCTCCCTCCCAGACCCTCCTTGCCCGTGCCACCCACACTGCTCCCGCCACCTTCTGTCCTTCACTTTTCCCTGAGGGCGGTCACTGCACCCCAGTGCCTTGCACGTGCCTGCTGTAGAGGGGGTGCTCAAATACTCCACTGTGGGTGGCCATGTCTGGGCCAGGTCTGCCAGGCTCCCTCTAATGACATGTGTCAGGAAGCAGAGCTGCCCAGTGTGCCTCCCAAGTCAGTGAGGGCTGTCCTTGTCCTCTTGGGTGCCAGTGGTGAGTCTTCTCGTGGGACCCTCCCACGCCCGGCCTGGCCAGTGGTTTTCCTGTTTGCTCATCCCCCATCCATACCCCCATCCACTCCCCATCCACTCCCCATCCACTCCCCATCCACTCCCATCACTCCCCATCCACTCCCCATCCACTCCCCCCATCCACTCCCCCATCCACTCCCCATCCACTCCCATCCCATCCCCATCCATTCCCCATCATCCCCATCCACTCCCCATCCTCCCCCATCCACTCCCCCATCCACTTCCCCCATCCACTCCCCATCATCCCATCCACTCCCCATCCACTCCCCATCCACTCCCCCATCCACTCCCCATCCACTCCCCATCCACTCCCATCACTCCCCATCACTTCCATCCACTTCCCCATCCCACTCCCCATCCATCCCCATCCATCCCCATCCACTCCCCATCCACTCCCCCATCCACTCCCCCATCCACTCCCCATCCACTCCCCCATCACCTCCACACTTCCCCATCCACTCCCCATCACTTCCCAATCCTCCCATCCCTCCCCATCCACTCCCCATCCACTCCCCCATCCACTCCCCATCCACTCCCAATTCCACTCCCCGATCCACTCCCTCACTCCCATCCACTCCGTCTCCCCATCCACTCCCATCCAACTTCCACTCCCCATCCACCTACCCCATCACTCCCCCATCCCCACTACTCCACTCCCACCACTCCCCATCCACTCCCCATCCACTCCCCATCCACTCCCCATCCACTCCCCATCCACTCCCCATCCACTCCCCATCCCACTCCCCATCCACTCCCCCTCCACTCCCATCCACTCCCCATCCACTCCCCATCCCACTCCCCATCCACTTCCCCATCCATCCCCATCCATCTCCCATCCATCCCATCCACTCCCCATCCACTCCCATCCATCCCATCCACTCCCCCATCCATCCCCTCATCGCACTCCCCCACTCCACCCCCATCCACTCCCCCATCCAGCTCCCCCATCCCACTCCCCATCCACTCCCCATCCGACTCCCCATCACTCCCATCCACTCCCCCATCACTCCCCATCCACTCCCCCACTCCATCCCCATCCACTCCCCATCCACTCCCCATCCATCCCCCATCACACCCCACCACTTCCATCCGACTCCCCCATCCATACCCCATCCACTCCCCATCCACTCCCCCATCCACTCTATCCACTCCCATCCATACCCATCACTCCCCATCCATACCCATCCACTCCCCTCAGGTGCCAGTATCTGGCGCCATGGGCACTCCACAGCCCCCCCATCTGTTTGTGAC